ACTCCCCGACTCTGTGCTCCTAGGCTAGTGAGAAAGTTCTCACTCTGAGCCTGTTTCCTCATCCATTTTATTTACAAAAGGAAAGGGACATCAGAGACCTCGAGTGTAGATGTTTTATTTAGAAGAGGCATTCGGAGCTCTGAAAGACTAGCAGGATGCATTCTTTTTGTTATTTACTAGTATTTAAAATTGAAAGTATTTTAAACTGGTAGCATTAAGCTTTATAAAAACTTATACAGTCTCTGACTTACAATGGTTTGGCTTAACAATTTTTTGACTTTACAGTGGCGCAAAAGTGATATGCATTCAGTAGAAACAGTACTTCGTATTTTGAATTTTAATCTTTTCCTGGGATAGCAATTTGTGTTACCATATTCTCCCGTGATGCTGGGCAGCGGCAGGGAGCCACAGCCACCGTCAGCCATGCGATTATGAGGGTAGACAACAGATACTCTATGGTGTGATATTAAGTGCATTTTTCACTAAAAATATTTTCAACTTACAATGGGTTTATCAGGAATTAACCCCATCGAAAGTCGAGGAACACCTATATGATGAAAAGTAAGTTTCCCTTACAATCAAGACCTCTAAACTCTCCACCCAAAGCCAACTACGGTTAATCTGTATCCTTTCGCTGTGACAAACTGTGAGTAGAACAGCCTTTTTGAATCCTGCGAGTCCTTCTAAGTGAATTCTTGAAACTGAGTGTGGTCTTGGGGACCCCTGAACATCAGGATCTTTCCTGGGTAGACGTGGCAAGGAAGGTAAGTTGAAGCAGAGCAGGAAAAGATCTGGAAAAGCTCAACTGTTCAGTTAAACTGATACCACTATTTATTGAGTGCCTGCATGTAAAGTGGGGACTTCACATACCTGTCTCCCAAATGCCTTGTGCATATTTTGTTCATCGTGGACGTTTTGACATTCACCTTGATTTTCGGGCACATCGCACTGCCTTATGTGTTGTCCCCGAGGTGAGTGCCTTGCTGTCCCTCCCCTAGCGTAGCCCTGACTGGTTCTCACTCCCATTTCACAGAAATGCAGCTGATGTCCCGGGAGAGAGGCCGCTTGCTTGAATCCTCCAGAAAGGCAGTCCATGGAGGAGCTGGCATTCCCACCAAGCCCATGGACGCCAAGGTACACCTTCCTTCTGTCTGTGGTTTGTTAATATCGACAGGTGGGTAGGCAGGATTCAGATTACCAGGGCATTTTCTGTAAGGTCTAATCGTGAGAAGGTCTTTCCTTGGTCAGACAGCCCATGTTTTTTATTATTTTTTCTCTAGCTTTATTGTGATATAATCAATATATAACACTGAGTAAGTTTAAGGTGCGCAACATGTTGATTTGATGTACTTATGTGTTACAAAATGGCTACCACCTTAGGCTAACTCACACCTCTGTGGAGTCATATAATTACCATTTCTTCTTTAGGGGTGAGAACATTTAAGATCTATCCTCTTTGCAACTGTCAAGTATGTACAGTATTGTTAACTGTAATCCCCGTGCTGTACATTAGATCCCCAAAACTTATTCATCTTATCATTGGAAGTTCATAACCTTCAACGTCATCTCCACGTTTCTCCCCGCTCCCCACCCTCCAGCCTCTGATAACCACCATTCTACTCTCTGTTTCTATGAGTTTGGCTTTTTCAGATTCCACTCATAAATGAGATCATACAGTATTTGTCTTTTTTCCTTCCGACTTATTTCACTTAGCACAATGTCCTCAAGGTCCATTCATGTTGTTGCAAGTGGTATCTCTTGATGATTTCCAACAGCCCATCTCAATTGGATGTGGGTAGGCTCCTAACTGCCACTGGAGACTTGCTAATCTCCCTTGTTATCAAAGAGAGCCGGCCTGGGGCTCGAGGCCTCCTGCAGGCAAGGAGATCTGGCTAGAGTTGATTAAAAGCTGGTTTCTCAGTTTCCCCAGCACTGGTGACATTTGAAGACAGAAAATACTCTTTAGTGGGGCGTCCTGTGCACTGTGGGGTGTCGAGCAGTATCCCTGGGCTCCACCCACTGGATGCCAATAACTCCCCCTTCCCCGGCTGTGACAACCAAAATGTCTCCAGACATCGCAAGTGTCCCATGGGGAGCAGAATGCGCCCCCCAGTTGAGAACTGCTGGTTTAAATAGCACACAAAATGCCCACATCTCACTGGAGGGGTCGGTGAGCACAGGATTGGGTGGAGAGTTCTGCTAAGTGTTCATTATTCTGGCCCGCCCTGCCAGGGCTGGGCACGGCTCCCAGCATCCCGTAGCCTCCCTCTGCACACCTGGGCCCAGGCTCAACTTTCATGGAGCCCCAGGGGACCCAGGTGTTCGAGAGGCTGGCTAGTCCCTGGGCCCCAACACTGAGCACCAAGAAACCACAGTTGCTGTGGCGACCGCTGAGCTCTTAGGGCGAGGAGCTGGTTGGTTGAGGGGCAAAAGGCTCCGGTTCCTGGAGTAGCCAACATCCAGGGGCGTTGGCTGGGAGGCCACTGTCTAACGTCCCCCCATTAGTATTTGCAGACCAAGCAGAGCAGTAAGAGCAGTTGGTTCAGCTCCCCTGGGGCTCTGGAGGTGACAGGGCTGCAGGTCACCGAGGGGGCCTTGGAAGGTGAGACAGGCACCCCACTCCAGATGGCCTTGCCCAGGTGGCCTCCCAGGAAGGCCACCCAGCCACTGATGTGAGGTGTCTGAGACTCATGCCCTTTCCTGGGGAAGGATTGTCCAGCATGAATGTGGGGCCCCTCAGCCCGGGCACCCGCCGGCGGCTTCTCGAGGGTCAGGCAAGCCCCCTCCCAGCACTTCCATCCAGCAGTGTGGCCATCTTCATCAGCTCCACGGTCTCAGGTAAGGGGCAGGGCAGGGATTGGGTTTTAGAGGCAAGTGAGCACTCTTGGGAGATGCCAAGGCAATGGACATGACTCACAGGGTCCTTGAAGAGACCTGGATGTGAATGCAGTCCAGCCAGTGACCCACATGGGAACAAGTGAGGGGGAGCCTCCCAGACCCTTTGTTTCTTCTTCAATAATCCAGGCTGAGAGCCTGACTTGATAGAGTTGCTGTAAATGGCAAATGATATTGCAACTAAAATTTGTGACGAACACACTACCCATTAGGTGTAAAAGCTGCCAGAGTCTTCTCATGGCTATAGGGCCTTGCACAACTGGACTCTACTCATCTCCCTAACTTTTTCGCATAAGATCCTCTCCTTACCCATGTGTTGTAGTCACACTGGATTCTGGCAGGTCCTGGAACCCTGAAGCCCCAGAGCCCCAAAGTAGTTATTTATGTATTTGTTTAATGCCTGGGTCCTCCCACAAGGCTGCAAGCTCCATGAGGGTGAAAACTACATAGAGTAGTCTGCTAGCAAGTGTTTAATAACCTATTCTTCGAAAACAAACAAACAAAAACCCATAAAACACCTGATTTGTACTGTCTGCCAATTTCTATGGTATAAATTCCCCCACCATGGTCAATTTCAAGGTGCCAATGTGACTTCATAAACATGAGTGGGGCAGAGCTGTGTGGTAGCCCACTACCCTCTTATATTTTTCTGCTACAAAAACAATAGCAATAAACAAACTCAAGAGCAGAGCTTATGGCCCAATCTAGTAAAATAATTTGGAAGTCGTGAGTTTTGAGCATTTGCGATCTCTGCTTTTACTATAATGTATTCCATGGTACGTTCCTATCATTTAATGTTTCATGATAGCCATATCAACAACTGGCTCACAGAGTTCCTGAAGACTTAGGCATCAGCTCTCTCAAGCCAGCAGGGGCCAGCTCTGGCATACTGCATTATTTCTATATGTTTCATTTGCCATTGTGCCTTTGATCTTAATACTGCCTACATCTAAAGAAACTTTCCAGTAGATATTTTATGGACAAATGTAAATAACTTGTGAGATTTATAAGCTAGGCATAGGACGGGAGGAGGATAGGGACAGATCCAAGATTGGTGTCCAAGTCAGCAACCATGGCAGGACCTGGACAGTTTCTTTGTACCATTGGCTTTGGGAGTCTTTTAAGGACACTAACGAAGCCTTCCCCTGGCCACGTGGAGAAAACAAATTCTTTAACACCTCGGCGTTTTTACTTGTAAGATTCAATGGTTCAATCAACATTTATTGAGCACCCATGCGGAATGCCAAGAAGTCAGCAATGGCCGAGGCATGAAGAGGTTCTTGACTTGGGGGAGCTTGCAGCCCTTCAGGGCAGAGGCATCACCCCATTTTACGGAGGGGGAAGCTGAGGCTAGCTTGGCACTTGGCACAAGGCCACATGGTGAAGTCAGTGGTGGAGAAGATCTTAGAATCCAGGTTTACCCTGGGTAGGGCTACCAGATTTAGCAAAAAAACAAAAACAAAAACAACAACAAAATGAGGACATCCAGTTAAATTTCAGATAAATAATAAATAATCCTTTTCTATAAATATACCCCAGATAGTGTACAGAAGGAACATACTTATGCTAACAAATGATTTGGTTATTTCACATGCAGATTGAACTAGATTTATCAGATACACAAATGCATCCAAATATTGCATGAAACGGGACATACTTATGCCAACAAATTATTTGTTGCTTATCTGAAGTGCAAATTGAACAGGGTTTAACAGAAATGCAAATTTATCCAAATAGTGCATGGTGTGGGATATACTTATACCATCAAGTTATTTGTTGTTTATCTGAAACATAAATTCTAATGAGCAGCCTGTATTTTATCTGGAAACCTTAACCCAGGGCAACCAACTGCCTGGTTAGCTGGGAATGAAGGGTTTCTTGAGATGTGGGATTTTTTGGGCCAACACCAGGAAAGTCCCAGGCAATCGAAGTGGTTGGTCTCCTTGGGTTTATCTCATGTTTTTGTATCTTTTGATTTGCCTCAAAGGGGTCCATCCTGGGTGGGGGCAGAGGAAACCAAAAGCAGAGTCATGGGCCGGGGAAGAGTTCTGGGTTCTGCCATCTGACACCCTCCATGCCATGCCTTGCAGATATGGACGCAGAGAGAGAAGCCCTGCAAAGCACCGCGTACCCTGCAGTGCAGACCTTCTGCCAGAAGCACGGCCTCATGTTTGAGGTAATTGCCTGCCCACTCCTCAATGCCCCAGTTTTCTCTGCTCGGAAATTAGGGAACAAGGGTGTGGCGCCCAGGCAGTCACACGGGGCCCTAGCTCAGCGGGAGCTCTGTGTTCCATTTAATGCTTTCCTGTTGAGTTAAAATTCATGATGATTTTTCAACAAGGGAGCCACGTTTTCTTTTTGCAGTGGACCCTTTAAGTTCTGTAGCTGATCCTGGGCTGAGGAGATAAAAGTCCTTTGAAAAGGCAGGTAGAGGGATTATGGCCGTAGGCACTGCGGTCAGCACAGGCCTCATGGTACAGTGCTATGAGCAGACTTCTCCTTGGGCATGTTACTTTTTTTTGTGTTTTTTTTTTTTTTCCCTGCTTTCTTGGCTTTCCCTGCCCTGGGGCAGCCTCGGGGAAGTCTAAGATAGCTGTGGGATATGCAGGGTAGGCCTTGAGGTGGCATGCGCCTTTTTCTGGAATGCTGATGATGTAGCTGCTGGGCACAGTCATCACGGCCCCAAACAGAGTCTCCTGCTTCTCCTACGATTCTCACACCAACCCTACCCTCGGTGGGGACGTCACTGTTTGCAAGTTTTGATGCAGAAACTGACAAACCATCTTTGGAGTCTCAGCTACAATAGAAACTGCCTCTTTGCCATCTATAACAACAATTCAGCACATCAAAGGCCCCTGGATTATAAGACACACCATCACTGATATATTACTAAGAAAGAAGCAGTGCTGGAAATTCAACTCTGCCTGCCATGGAGCATGAAACACAGCTCAATGGCAGAGGCACTAAAAATGCAAACCTACCCGCAGAGAACCGATGAAATGCCTGTGCCCATCCCTTAATGGTCACGTGGTGCCAGCTAGGTAATAACTGTAAACAGCCTCACCTTGAAGACGGGGCCCAGAAAGAGGAAGGTTCCTGCCTGAATCTGGTGGCGGACCCTTTTTCCTTCTCTCTTTCTTCCTCCAGTCACGTTCAGTAATGGACCATCTATCTTATGCTGTAATTCATTAGGAATCGATGTGTCTTTCCCTCTGGGCAAAAGAATTTAGGGAGGCAAATTCTGTTCTGATTTAGGGAGGTAAAGTCTGTTCTGTTCTGAGTCCTATACCGGCCCCCCTTCCTCGTCCCAGCCTTCCACAGGGTCAGCTTCGCTACTTGAATTCAGCCATCCTGCCCGGCCCCGCTCCAGCTAGCAGACAAAAATGGACTGCAAGCGTGTGGTTGCCAAGGAAACTTTGCCGCATCCGATTCTGGGCAAACTAAATACCCTCCTTTGCAAAGAAAGCTCTGAGAACAAGTGTGGACATGTCCTCGCTTTAAAAGAAACAGTTTAAAAATGCCCAAGGTCTTAAAAAAAACTTTTAAAAATGTTTTTTAAGTAAACTCTGGTTTTGGAGTTTAGATTTACAGGAAAGTTGCATATGGTACAGAGTTTCCATATACTCCGCAACAAGTTTTTTCCCGCATGTGAACATTTCACATTATTAGGGTGCATTTGTACAACTAAGAAATTGACACTGGTATGTTGTTATTAACCAATCTCCTGATGTTACCTGGGATGTCACCAGTTCTGTCTGGTCTAGGACCCCATCCAGGGAACCCCATTGCCTTTAGTTGTCACGTCTCCCCAGTCTCTGCCAGTCTGGAACAGCTCCTTGGTCTTGTTGCTCATGACCTTGGCAGTTTTAGGGAGGATTGGCCTGGCGTCCTACAGGATGCCCCCGATCTGAGTCTGCCTGATATTTTTCTCACAATTATACTGGGGTTATGAGTTTTATTCAAGCTCTTTTCATTCAGACATCCCCCTTTGGGGAGAGGCTGTCAAAAATTATTGAAAGAAACTCTATGCCTTTGCCAAAAGGAATTGAAAATATCACCTCTTCTGCCTCCTCCCTGACAATCCCACGCCTGTCGTCTCCAGGTCGTTGATCTGAGGTGGGGTATTCGGGACACCGAGGCCACTGACCACATGACCACGGAACTCTGCTTGGAAGAGCTTGACCGGTGTCGGAAAACATCCCTAGGGCCAGCTTTTGTTGTGAGTCTCTCAGATGGATGGGGTCGCTCTTACTTTTCCTTCTGGCACCAGGTTATGGGCCCTGCTTCTCATATCCCCCCAGCGGGATATGAGTGGCAGTTCTGCTCTTGTACCCAATCTCCATAGCCTGCCCATGGCAGACATTGCTCATCGTTGGCAGAACTTTTTCTGTAGAGCTAGCTGAGATCCAGACATTAGCAGTCAAGTATAGCGGCAAGTGAGGTGGAGAGCAGCAGAGTGTTCACCCCAACTTTCTCACCTCATCTACTTTATCCCTGGAGCTTTGAGATCCTGGAAATCCAAGGTAAAAGTGGAAACTCACAGGGTATTGGTATTCTTTTCCTCCCATCTGTAGCCTTATCTGGATCCTGCCTCAGGGGAAAACTTTCTCTAACCTTAGATGAGACCCATTCTTACAGGGTCTTCTCTCCTCTCCTCTCAGCTAACTGCCCCGCTTTGTGGCCAAAACAACCCCCAGTTCATGACGAACTGTTTGGGCTCTGATCGACAAATAATATTCCAGAGTTTTTATTTATTACACCACCAAGTTCCAGTTACATCTAAGAACTATGACATTTTAGCTCAGAAATCCCAGGGTAGGAATCAGCAAATTATAGCCCATGGGGCAAATCCGGCCCGCTCCTATTTTCATAAATAAAACTTTATTGTCACGTAGCCGTGCCTCTTTATGTATGGTCCATGACTGCTTTCCAGCTACATATAACTGCAGAGCTGAGCAGCTGGGACAGAGGCTGTCTGGCTTACAGAGCTGAAAATGTTGGCTACCTGGCCCTTGACAGAAAAAGTTTTCTGACTTCTGTCCTGGAAAGTAAAGAGGGAAAAGCCATTAAAGTATCTCTGCCCGATACACCTTAATCACAAAGAACCTTTGAGCAGCAACCAATCAAAAGAAAAATTCTCTAACCCTCTCCTGGAGATAAGGATGTAGCATATAGGAGAAGATGGCCCCATTTTAAAAGCTCTTTTCTAGGGAAATAAAGAGAACTAGGTGAGACCCGTTTGGCCTTAGAATTGCACTGGCCAGCGCGGTAGCTACGGACCACGTGTGGTGATTTAAATTAATTAAAATCAAGTAGAATTAAAATTTCAATTTCTCAGTCCTGTTAGCCACATTGCAATAGCAAGGGGCCATCATAATGGAAAGCACAGATGAGAACACATCCAGAGGTGTGGAAAGTTCTAGTGATTCCTGAGACATTAGGTCTCCCTAAAAGAAACAAGTTTTATCTCCACAATCGGCCTTGCGTTTTCATTCTTTTGCTCTCTATTTCCCTTGGTATGTTGGCATCACTCTTCCCCCCCACTCCAGCTTTGTTGAGCTACAACTGACATACAGCACTGTATAGTTTAAGGTGTAAGGCAAAATGACTTGACTTCCATATACCGTAAAATGATTACTACAATGAGTTTAGTTAACATCCATCATCTCGTACAGATACAAAATAAAAGAGAAAGAAAAAGAACGTTTTTTTCCTTGGGATGTGAACTCTCAGGATCTAGTCTCTTAGCAACTTTCAAATGTCCCATGCAGCAGTGTTCACTACTTATTTATGTCGTGACTGGAAGTGTGTGTATTTTAAACCACACTGTTTTAATTATTATTGCTTTAAAATGCATTCTAACATTTGGAAGTTTCTACACTCCTGCTTGCATATCTCTCTCACAATTTTTCCCTCAATCTTTTCACCTACTTTTCCTGATGATTGATCGTTTCGTTAAGTTTCAAAGAAAAAAAAAAAAAAAAGAAAAGAAAGAAAATTCTTAAAGAAAAAAGGGAGATGGGGAGAAAAATAACTCCAGGGGGAATTTGATTTTGCAACCCAAATTGCAGGCAGCGAAAAGCACAACGCAGCTTCCAGGTGACGTGGGGGACAGGAGGATGATCTCTGGGCTTCCCCCAGGCCTCACCGGCCCAGGGACCTTGCGAGTCCTTCCAGAAGGGCTCTTTGGGCAGCCAGGTGACCTCTACCCACTTCCTACGTTTCTCCTGAGCCAGGCATCTCCCCTCTGTTACCTGAGTCACAGCTTCATTCTCCTCCAGTGGCTCTGATTTGAGGGACTTTCCATGAAAATCAGAGCTGCACTGAGGGCCCTTGGAGAGCCTTCTCTCTGGTAAATAAGTCATTAGGCAGCATGGCAGGGAACTGATCCCCAGGCACTTCCTTCTCGAGGCCCTGGGTCTCTTGGGACACCAGAAGCTCCAGCGTCTCCAGAGAGTTGCTCCTGATGGCTCCTCGATCTTCTTTCCAACTCTTCCTGCTCCCATTGTTCTGGTGCCACAGACATGAGATTTTTTTTTCCATGTGTTTCCTTCCTACGATATCTGGTTTGTGGTCGGCTGGAGACACCTTTCACTACTTCTCTTCTTCCTCTGAGGTTGTTTGTCACTGCTGGGATGGCCCCGGGAAGGATAACAGCATCTTCTTCAACATCCCATCATCTCAGATTCCACTTATCCAGGTTTCCCAAGTACACGCCTCTGGAATGTTCTGGAACAATCCAGTGAAGAGAGGAGGGCTGCTTGCTTCCATTTTATAATGAGGAAACTCGAGATTCCGGGGCCAATATCCTAGGCCTAATTCTCTTGCGTTCCAGTTTGTACGTTCTCTAAGCATGTCAGGGCAGAGAGAGGGCCTCCTAGTGTTTGTTCTCAGCACTAGGACCACAATCTCAGAGTCTCACCACACCCTACAAAATCCTGCCCATGAGACAGCCTTACCGCCTTCCTCTGCTCCCTCCTTGTTGGCGCGTCATCCCCCTGACTTTCCTGCACTGGAACATGCTGTTTCTGCCGCTCACACACGCCTGTACTTCTAGCCACAGGGCCTTTGCACATGCTGCTTCCACTGCTTGCCAGGCACTCTTCCCAGGGCACTCTTCTCATATCTTATTCCGCAGCTTGATCCTTATCTTCCTCAGAGGAATCTCCCTGACTCCACATGTGACCCACGTTTACCTTTTCTTCCCAGCACAAGGTCAGCCACACCTTGACATTGGTGCCATTCTTAGACTGACGGCTACCTCTCCTGTAAGGGGTCTGAGGTCGAGGTAGTCAGGGACCATGATCGTCTTGGTCACCATTGTCTCTTGAGCAGCTGTCAAATATTTAGGGGATGATCGTGTTCAGAACTCTGAGGTTCCACCCTTGGACCTGACCCCGCCCTTTCCCCCAGTTGACCTTTTTAAACCCGTGACCTCAGACTCGTTGCAATTTGGCACCATCCCCAGGGCCTCGGTTTCCAGATCGGTTTCCCAAAGAGGGAGCGGGGCTTTGGGTTTTCTGAAGCCTGCTGCAGCTCTAATTCTCCCCAGAGGGGCTGGGATTAGGGTGAAGAGAATGAGACATTCGCCTCCAGCACGAAATGTAAGGAGGCACCAAAAACCTTAGTCATTGAGATAAATATTTTAATGCAATGTTTTAAAAAAAATATCAAAGTTAATCCAAAAAATCCATAGGGAACAAAATAGCAAAATTCTAAATAAAAACGGGGTCCTTCCTGCGCTTTCGAAACCCACCTTCACCTCTCTCTCACTGGGCCCTGCTCCTGGCTGCCAATGGAGAGAATTTTGTCCCCAGAGCCACATCATAGTGTGAGATCTGGGCAGAGCCAGCGGAGGTCACAGCTCTTGTCACAGCTCTATTCCTAGAACAAGCCAATGCCGACATACGAGAAGCTACAGGTTTTTCTTTCGTACAATGGGAGGGAGTATGGGGGGTCCCCAGACTGCTATAACAAATGACCACAAACCGATTGGCTTAAAATAACAGAATTTATTCTCGTGTGGTCTGGAGGCCAGAAATCTGAAATCAGGGTGTGAGCAGAGGTGTGCTCTTCCCCAAATTTCTCAGGGAGAATTTTTCCTTGTCTCTGCCAGCTTCTGAGGGTTCCAGGCATTCCTTGGCTTGTAGCTGCATCACTCCAATCTCTGGCTCCGTTGTCATATCATCTTCTCTTCCGTTTGTGTCAAATCTCTCTCTGCCTCTCTCTTATTAAAGACTCTTAGGATTGCATGTAGGGCCCATCTGGATAATCCAGGATAATTTCCCCAGCTCGAATTCCTTAACTTAATCATATCGGCAAAGACCCTTGTATTAGTCAAGGGTCTCCAGAGAAATAGAACCAATAGGATGACAGATAGATAGATGGTAGATAGATAGATAGATAGATAGATAGATAGATAGATAGATAGATAATAGATAGATAGACAGATAGAAATAAAGAGACGGATATGATATAAGTATAGATTAGATGAAGATAGAGATAGATATAGAGATAGAGATATGGAGAGGACATTTATTATAGGAATTGACTCCCGTGGTTATGGAGGTTGAGAAGTCCCACCATCTGCTGCCTTCAAGCTGGACACCCAGGAAAACCAGTGGTATAATTCAGTCTGAGCCCTGAGCCCTGGGAATTGGGGGCTGATAGTGTAAATCCTGATCTGAGTCTGAATATCTGAGCACCGATGTCCAAAGACAGGAAAAGACAGATGTCACAGTTCAAGCAGAGAGGGAATTTGGCCCTCCTTCTCTTTGTTCTGTTGGGCCTTTGATGGATTCGATGAGGCCCACCTGCATTGGGGAGGGCCAGCTTCTCAATTCAATCCACAATTCAAATTCTAACCTCTTCCAGAGATACCCTCCCAGGCACACCCAGAATTCATGTTCGACCAGCTATATCTGGGTGTCCCTTAACCCAGTCAAGTTGATACATAAAATTAACCATCATGAGCCTTTTTCCATATAAGGTACATTCACAGGGTCCAGGGATTAGGACCGGTATCTCTGGGAGGCCAGTACTCAGCTACCAGAAAGAGTTTCCCAAGCAAAAGATTCTGTGATACTTGATGCTCAACCAGATTCCAAATTTACCGGTTCCATGTCCCATGCTCTCAGGTACCTCCACACGCAGGTTCTGTAAGTCTCTGCCTGCACGCCTTACTGTAGTGATCACCACGGTGCTATGGCCAGACTCATTTTGAGGGGCTTGGCGTGCCTCTCCCAGGGTTACAGAGCTAAGTGCAGAGCCGAGATTTGAAACTGTGTCCCTCTTTCTATTGTTCCTCTGCCAGGCCCTCCTAGGTGACCAGTACGGTCCCTGTCTGGCCCCCACACTCATCGAGGAGGAGGAGTGGGAGGCTCTGAAGGCCCAGCTGACCTCTCGGCCAGGTGACCTGGAGCTGGTGGCTCACCGTTTCCAGAGGGACGAGAACACGGTGCCCCCCACCTTTGTGCTGCGGGCCTCAGGCACCAGGGAGACCCATGGGCCCGAGGACACCACCCTGACCTCTGCGCTTCGCTATGGAGCCCAGGAGGCCAGGAGGCTGGGCCTTATCTCCCAGGAGCAGTGGCATCGCTACCACTGGTCAGGTGAGATGCGGAATTCCTCTCAGGGTCCATGGGAAATGCCCATGCATTCAGAATACACATCACATGTCGTCCAAATGCCATGGCTCGTGTTTCTGTAAATGCCACGCCAGCCCAGCTCCCAGACCCCATGTTCCGAGAAAGGGCATTTTATGGATGGTCCAAGAGAATTCAGTCCTGTCCCAGATAAATCTCAGTCTCCTAGGATCCTCCCCCTTCCCCGGGACTCCTTCCCTTCCTGGGGAGGCTCCTGGTTTTGGGGGTCGCGCTCTCGGATGACCACCATCCCCGTTTGCCTGGACCGAGAGACTCCCGGGATGCAGGACTGTTAGGGCCAAACGCAGGACAGTCCTGGGAAAACTGGACTAGATCCCCCTGTTATCACGAGTCAGCCCATGCTGAGGACTCTGAGTCATCTGGCCTTGCTGCGCCTGCCTCAGAGGTAGAAACCGAGGCACAGGAAGGAGGAGTCTCGTCTGCCCCAGGATGAGAGTAGAGATTTCCGCCCTGTGACTGTTAAGTTCCTCACCCACTTCCCACCTGGTCCCCTACCTCTCACCGCACCCTTGGCTCCCACGATCCTCTACTTCGGATACCAGAAAGAGTTTTCTAAAAATGCAGCATGACCAATCCATTTCCCCACTGCTTGCTGCCAGCAGAAATGGATTGTTATTGTTCATGGGTTAGTAACATGTCAGGTTATTAGTATGTCAGTTAATATTACCAAACATATTAAATATAGAAATTTATATTACCAAAACTATTAAATATGTAACTTTATATTATTAAAAATAATAAATATATGAATGTTTATCAATATATTGAATATATGAATTTACATTATGAACATATTAAATATGTGGATTTATGTTATATTATAAACATATTAACTATATTGATTTATTTAAGGATAGTTAATGTAGTAATTTATATTAATAGTATTTTAATTTTATTAAAATATATCTATTATTATCTATTATCTATTAGATCTATTATTTATCAATTCTACTAATGACGGACATATCCACTTTTGTTGTTGGGATCATTTTAGATTAACAGGAAAATTTCAAGGCTATAAAGCTAAAAAGATAATACAGAGTTCCCGTATGTTTTTTGCTCAGATAAGTTAACATGTGACCACAGTACATTTGCTGAAACTGAGAAATTAACATCGTTACATGATGATTAACTAGACTCCAGACTTTATTCAGATTGCCTCAGTTTTCCCATTAACATCCCCTTTCTGCCCCAGGGCACCATCCAGGATCCCACGTTGCGTTTAGAGGACTGGTCTCCTTAAGCTCCTCTGGTCTGTGACAGCTTCTCAGTCTTTCCTTGTTTTTCATGACCTTGACCATTTGAGGAGTACGGGCCAGGGGCTGAGGCGGGTGTGGGATCACTCCAAGGAGGACTTGTGAGTGGCTCTTGTCTTTGGCTTACAGAGACTGAATCCTGTCTCCAAGGCCCTGACTCGCTCGGCCACAGAGAGCTGGGAGCCTCTGCTGAGCGTAGGGTGGCTTCAAAGATAACTCCCCAGGTCTAACTGATACTTCCAAATAATAGCCTCCAAGGAGAAGTCAGTGTGTGCCCTTCACCCTGCAAAATATGGGTCCTTGGGACAATTGCTGCATGGCTTGGGACAGGATTTGGCAAAGGATGGCCTGAGGGCCAAATCCAGCCAGCTACTTGATTTTATAAACAAACTTTTTTTGGAACATGCTGGAGAGCATTCGTTTGCATGTTGTCTATATTTATGCCAGGTCACTCAGGTGCATGTTGAGCTTGAGAACCAATGTCCTTACCTCCTAAATATATCTCTCAAGTGTCCCCACTCAGGCCATCTGATGACAATGACGACCACACTCTCTTTTCATATCCTCCACCTTTGCAGTCATTGAGTGGGAGATAGAACGGGGCCTGCTGAGCTTGACAGATGGGGACCAGGGAGCCACTGTCTTCCTGAGAGAGATCCAAGACCTCAACAAACACATCCTGGAAGACTGTGCCCTAAAGATGGTGGACCGGCTCGCAGACGGCTGCCTGGACACAGATGCCCAGAATCTTCTCAGCAGCCTCAAGGGGCGCATAGCTGACACTCAGCCTGGAGTCCTCAAGGCCCACCATCTGCCATGGAGCCGAGACCTAGTGAACCCCAAAAACAAGGCTCACGCCCGATATCTGAAGGAGCTGGGGGAGCAGTTTGTGGCCAGGGCTAACTACCAGGTCCTTGAGCGCCTCCGGGAGCTAGAGGCAGGCAGGCAGGAGTTGACATGGCTCTACCAGGAAATCCACCACCACTTGGGGCTGAGTGCTGAGGCCACCAGGACCTTCTGTGGGCGCGAGGAGCTCCTGACCCAGGTGGGGCAGCGACTCCGGAAGAATGACGGCCACCCCCACATGCCCCTAGTGCTTTTTGGACCCCCAGGCATCGGAAAGACAGCTCTGATGTGCAAGCTGGCTGAGCAAATGCCAAGGCTGCTGGGCTGCAAGACGGTGACCATCTTGCGGCTCCTAGGGACATCCCAGATGAGCTGCGACGCCCGCAGCCTGCTCCAGACCATCTGCTTCCAGGTGTGCCTGGCCTACGGGCTGCCCCTGCCCCCTGCCCAGGTCCTAGAGGCCCACGCCAGAGTGGTCCAGTTTTTCCATACCCTCCTGCACACCGTCTCCTGCCGAAACTTTGAGTCCCTTGTGATCCTACTAGATTCTGTGGATGATGTGGACTCCATTCACCGAGCTCGGAGAGTCCCCTGGCTGCCTCCCAAGTGTCCCTCAAGGGTCCACTTCATCCTCTCAGCCTGCTCAGGGCAGCGGGGAGTTTTAGACACCGTGAAGCAGATGATCACGGACCCAGAGTCCTACTGGGAGGTGAAACCCCTCTCCAGTAACCAAGGGCAAGAGATGATCCAGCTGCTCCTGGCGGCCTCCAAGAGGACACTGAGCCCAGGGCAGAGGGACCTGCTCTGGGCCAGCCTCCCAGAGTGCGGGCACCCTGGGCGGCTGAGGCTGGCCTTCGAGGAGGCCCGGAAATGGGCCTCCTTCACCATGCCTGCCCCTCTGGCCTCCACTGCTAAGGAAGCGATGCACCAGCTGTGTGCCCGCCTGGAGCAGACCCACGGGCAACTCCTGGTGGCCCGAGTGTTGGGCTACATTGTGTCTTCCCGGTAAGTCTCTGTTTTTTCACTCTTTTTCAAAATTCTGAATTAATTTTATTGTTTATGCTAGTAAACACAGCTCATGTACAAGAAAAATATAAAACCGGTTACACAAAAATCTCTCTTAAAAAAATTAACATGATTTAATGTCCTGAATGGGAATCGAATATGCAACTCATACATTTGATAAGTATTACTGAGAAGCATTAGTTGCAATGCATTTTTTTTGAAAGGTGCTTTCTGACTTTTTTAATACATGCATAAAATTATTTTTTGCTTTTTGAAAACAAAGAAATTCTCAGGAAACCTCAACAGAAAACCTTTTATAGACCCGAGGGGGTCTGATAACAGTTGATATTATGAATCTGACCTTTGTTATTATTATTAGTGATAGAGTTTCCAGATCGCCTTGCTCTAAATCCCTTTTCTTTTTTTCTTATCCGCCAACCATCCAACCTCTCCCCTTTGGCAGCTATCAGCTTGTTCTCTGTATCTGTTCATCTCTTTCTGTTTTATTTTGCTTATTCACTTTTGTTTTTTAGATTCTACATATATGTGAAATAATATGGTATTTGTCTTTCTCTGTCTGACTTATTTCACTCAGCATGATACCCTTTAGGTCCATCCATGTTGTCATGAATGGCAAGATTTTGTTCTTTTTTATGGCTAAGTAATATTCCATTGCTTATCTATACCACATCTTCTTTATCCATTCATCCACTGGTGGACACTGAGGTTGTTTCCATATCTTGGCTATTGTAAATAATGTAGCAATGAACATGGATTTTGGATTTGTTTTGGATTTCTTCAGGTAAATACCCAGATGTGGGATTGCTGGGTCATATGGCAGCTCTATTTTTAATTTTTTGAGGAATCCCCATACCATTTCCCATTGTGGCTATACCAATTTACAATCCCACCAACAGCGCATTAGGGTTCCCTTTTCTTCACTTTAAACTCTTCTTTAAAATTGAACTATGAGGTATGCATTCATCTCTTAGTGCCACTGTGACAAATCACACACTGGGTGGCTTAGAACAAGAGAAATTTATTCTCTCACAGTGCTGGAGGCCAGAAGTCTGAAATCAAGGTGTCAGCAGGGCCATACTCAGGTGCTAGGAGAGAACCTGTTCTAGGCCTTTCTCTTAGTTTCTGGTGTCACCAGCAACCCTTGGCATTTCTTAACTTATAGACGCATCACTCCGATTTCTGTCTCCATCGCTTCCCGGCCTCTCCCTGTGTGTGTCTCTGTCTGA